CGGTCATGGGGCCTGAACTCTGGGCCTGGGCGCTGTCCCTCAGCTCTTCAGCTCAAGGCTAGCGCTCTACCACTTGAGCCACCACGCCACTTGTAGCTTTTTTTCTTTTTGCTTATGTGGTGCTGAGGAATTGAACCCAGGGCCTCATGCATGCAAGGCAAGCACTCTACCACTGAGCCAACTTCCCAGCCCCTGTTTTCTAAATTTTATCTGAATATTTTCAGTTATTCTTTGCTGGGAAACACAAACTTTTTTTTTTTGGCTGGTCCTATGACTGGTCGTCTGAGCCTGGGTGCTATCTATGAGCTCCTTTTTCTCAAGGCTAGCACCCTACTACTTGAGCCACAGCACCACTTCTGGCTTTTTCTGTGATTAATTGGTGAAAAGAGTCTCATAAACTTCCCTGCCTGGGCTGGCTTCTAGCCATAATCCTCAGATCTCAGCCTCCTGAGTAGCTAGGATTTATGGGTGTGAGTCACTGGCACAAACTTCTTTTTTTAGACAGGGTCTCATTGTGTAGCTCAGGCTGGCTGGCTAAAATGTTTGCTCAAGGCTAACACTCTACCACTTGGAGCCACAGTATCACTTCCTCATTCTATCTGAATATTTTCTATTTTTTTTTTTTTTTTTTAGGTCTGGTCGTGGGGCCTGAACTCTGGGCCTGGGCACTGTCCCTCAGCTCTTCAGCTCAAGGCTAGCACCCTACCACTTGAGCCACAGTACCACTTCCAGCTTTTTCTGTTTATGTGGTACTAAGAAGTTGAACCCATGCATGAAGTTGAACTTCATGCATGATAGGCAAGCACTTTACTAGTAAGCCTCATTCCCAGCCTCTTCCTGACTTTTTATCTCACATTACTTATCACCAGCTCTTCACTCCTGTGCCCCTCAGCCCTCCACATTCACTCTTCTGCTTTCTGTCTGTAAATTTTGTGAGTTTAAGTGGAGACATATACAGTGTTCATCCTTTTGTGACTAATTTATTGTACTGTAATATATATTATGCTAGATTATATTCTATGTTTTATATTCCACAATTTTTTTTAGTATTGTCAGAATCCTCTTATATTTTAAGGCTGAGTACTGTTCCACTGTATGGACATACTACATTTCATTTATCTATTCATCCACCAGTGAACAGTTGGGTCCCTTCCATGGACAGATTTTATTAAATGTGACCAAATACCATTATTATACATTTAAAAATCTATAATTCCTTAAATTCACCAAATATCTAGTCTTCAAATTTCCAGTTGTCTTACTAACGTCATATTTGTTTTCACAGTTGCCATTGTTTTTAGACATTGGATTTGAACAGGTTTTTTTTTTTTTTGTTGTTGTTGTTTTTACTTCTTAACTCTTTTGTTATGTTTTTCATGCAGAATCTGGTCCAGAATCTGGTCTACCAGGATCTTTGCCAAGTGTCCTCAATGATGCTGGTGGAGACACGAGCCCTGTTATAGATAGTTGTGGCCAAGGGTCCCCAGCAGCCAACAGTTCAGTTTCACCCCCTGGCCACCTTGATCTTCACCGGGTCAGCTGCTCTACTTTCTTCTGGGCAGGAGGTAGGCTCTGGGCTGGATGTTTGAGACTTGGCACTAAGAACTCTTCTTTGACAGGTCTCAGTTTTGGTCTTGAAGGTGAATGAAGTGTCTTTTGGGATTGAGGTACGTGGTGAGGACCTGAATGTAGCCTTGCAAGCAGAGGACCTAACCTTGCAGCAGCTGGGCACTGTAGGACTCTGGCAGTTTCTGCACGGACAATGCCCAGGTAAGAATGGTGGCCATGTGTTGGGATTTATCTGAGGGCAGCCAGGATTAACTGGTACTGGTTCCTGTGTTCTAAGGGCAGCTGTTTTAGTGTCAAGCCCTTAAATCTTTTTCGTAGCAGCCCCTGGGAGAAGAGAATCTCCAATAAAGCCTCTCCTACAGGGAGCCTCTCGTAGCTTTTTCTGGGGTTTTGAATTCACTGGCCAGTCTCCCATCTCACTGGCCAGTGTGACTCCTGGGTTTACGTGAGGATAGTGTCCGTTTCATTGTTTGTATGGCTGCTAACAGAGAACTCTTTAATCAGGGGTCCTCTGTTATTCAGATTCATTTATTTGGTGGGAATTATCATTTATATTTTTTAAAAAAATGATGGGAACGCTGTGCACTGGTGGCCTATAATCCTAGCTACTCAGGAAGCTGAGATCTGAGGATCGAGGTTCAAAGCCAGCTTGGACAGGAATGTCTGTGAGCGAATGTCTGTGAGCTGTGGCTTAGCCTTGAGCAAAAAATGCTAAAGGACAATTTCCACATTCCCCCGAGTTCAAGCCCCAATACATGCACCAAAAAAAAAAAAAAAAGGAAAGCCAGGTGTCAGTAGCTCACTCTAATCCGAGCTACTCAGGAGTCTAAGGTCTGAGCATCAAGGTTCAAAGCCAGCCCAGGCAGGAAAGTCCGTGAGACTCTTACCTCCAGTAAACAACCAGAAAACCAGAAATGGCACTGTGGCTCAAGTGGTAGAGTGCTAGACATGAGCTGAAGAGCTGAGGGACAGCACCATGACCCAGAGTTCAAGGCTCACAACCAACCAACCAGCCAAAAAAAAAAAAAAGATGGGAAAATCTGGTTTTCTGTTACAGGCTTTATTTAAAAATTATCTTTAAAGATAGAACAGATACTTAAGAATACTACTACCACCACCACCACCACTACCACTACCACTACTACTATTACTACAAAGAACACACATAGCTACCAGTCTAATATATATAGCAGCATAGTTACCCTTGAAGTCATATCACTCTTCCTACTGATCCTAAACACTGCTGAATTTTGTGCTATCATTCTCTTGCTTTATTTTGTAATTTTTTTTGTGCTAGTACTTGAACTCAGAGCCTTGCTCAGGTTTTTCACTCATGATTGGTGCTCTACCTCTTGAGCTACACCTCCACTTCTGGCTATTTGCTTGTTACTTGGATTTGTCTGCCCAGGCTGGCTTAGAACCTCAGATGGTTAGATCTCAGTTTCCTGAGTAGCTAGGATTAGAGACGAGCCACCTGGGCCTGGTTTTCCACATCTGTTTTTGTCATATTATTTTGCTTTGTAGGTTTTTGAGTTTTCTAAATGTAATTATAGTTTGTATTATTTTGTGATTTGCTTCTCCTCTTCCCCTTCCTCCTTTCTCCCTCTCTTCCTTCCTTTTTCTTCCTTTCCTTTCCTTTTTTTGTTTTTTTGTTTGGTCGTGGGACTTGAACTCTGGGCCTGGGCTCTGTCCCTCACCTCTTCAACTCAAGGCAAGTACTCTACCCCTTGAGCCACAGCGCCACTTCTGGTTTTCTGGTGATTAATTGGAGATAAGCGTTTCACAGACTTTCCTGCCTGGGCTGGCTTTGAACCTTGATGCTCAGATCTTAGACTCCTAAGTAGCTAGGATTAAAGGAATGAGCCACTGACACCTGGCTTTCCTTTTTTTTTTCTTGGTGCATGTATTGGGGCTTGAACTCAGGGGATGTGGGAATTGTCCTTTAGCATTTTTGCTCAAGGCTGAGCCACAGCTCCACTGATTTGTATGGTTAACTGGTGATAAGACTTGTCTCATCGACTACCTGCTGCAAGCAGAAAATTCTTTATCTTGAAATCCTTGTGTCAGACTCCTGAGTAGCTAGGATGATAGGCATGAGCCACCTGTGCCTGGCTATGATTTGCTTCTATTCTGTATTGTGTTTAGTTACCTATAATTAAGTTATACTACTATTTAAATATACTACATTTTGCTTTCTTATTTTTTTTAAAGTCTTATTGGAGATAAGAGTCACATAGATTTTCCTGCTTGGGCTGTCTTTGAACTATGATCCTCACATCTCAGTCGCCTAAGTAGCTAGAATTACAGGCATCAACCACCAGTGCCTAGCTTGTATTTTGTTTTTGAGAGTCTTGTTAATTTTGTTTGGGCTGATTTTATACTCTCTTTTTCCTGTCTCTGTCTAAGTAGCTAGGATCAGTGAGGGTTCTATGTTTTAAAAGCATTCCTGGCCAGGTGGCAGTAGATAATGCCTGTAATCCTAGGTACTCAGGAGTATGAGATCTGAGGAGCACAGTTTGAAGCCAGCCTGGGCAGAAAAGTCCCTGTGAGACACTTATCTCTAATTAACTACTCAAAAACTGGAAGTGAAGTGGAGTTGTGGCTCAAGATAGAGTACTACCCTTGAGTACAATGAGGCTCAGGGACAGCACCCAGGCTCTGAGTTCAAGCCCCACAACCGACCAAAAAAAAAGCTTTCCCTTGGCTAATATATAGTGCCTCAAATTCAGAGCAAAGACCCCCCCCAGCCTCCCCAACTCCTTCCTTCTGTGGTTTGAACTAAGGGCCTCTGGCTTACTTGACAGGCTCTCTACCACTTGAACCACATTTCTAGTTGAATGCCAGCTTTTTTTTGGGGGGGGGGTCCAGTCGTGGGGCCTGAACTCTGGGCCTGGGCGCTGTCCCTCAGCTCTTCAGCTCAAGGCTAGCGCTCTACATCTTGAGCCACAGTGCCACTTCCGGGCTTTTTTTTTTCTTTTCTGCTTATGTGGTGCTGAGGAATCGAACCCAGGGCCTCAGGCATGCAAGGCAAGCACTCTACCATTGAGCCACCTTCCCAGCCCCGAAGGGCAGCTTTTTGTTGGTCCTTCTCTCTTCCAACTTGGGAGGCATTATAGCAAAGTAGCTTCATGGATTTTGAAGCCAGATTACCTGGGTTTGTTTGTGTCTTACCATTGTGTCACTTTGGGCAAGTTATTTTCTGTGACTTCGTTCTGAGGGAAAGAATTTTGGAACTTAAAGTAGATAAGGGGGCTGGGAAGGTGGCTCAGTGGTAGAGCGCTTGCCTTGCATGCTCGAGACCATGGGTTCGATTCCTCAGCACCACATAAGCAAAAAGAAAAAAGCCGGAAGTGGCACTGTGGCTCAAGTGGTAGAGCGCTAGCCTTGAGCTGAAGAG